TCATGAATTTAAAAGATCTTGGCTATTATGTAATTTTTTTTTTTTGAAATTTGTGTCATAAAGTTGAAACATGAATTTTCTAACAGGAATCACTAAGGGGACGAGTTAAGGAAGACCTCTTAGAATTCACCAATGCTCTAAGTAGTAAGCTTTTGGGTATGGCTTTCTTTCTCCATCCCTCCTCTTCTCCACAAACATCCTTCTCTCCTAGAATCTACTATTTTGTTGAGATTTTACCATCATTACACAGACAAACAACAAGAATTGACAATTTCAGATGAGTCAAAGCTAGTGGAGTCTCTTGAATCTTTGAGACCATGAGAATTAAGGGCGATTGGTTTTAAAGGATAGTGAGGATAACATATTGCTCTTTAAGAGGTTTAGAAGAGGAATGTGATCGAACTCTCGGAGAAAACAAAGAGAGAAAGTCATGGAGAGAAAATATACTTGTTGATGAGACAGAGAACTTCTAATACCCCAAAGGGTAAAAAGGGGTTGGACACATGAATGATTTAACTCAATTTAGATATTTTTATCTTTTACCTTAAAAAGGTTGCAAAAAAAGTTTTGTTTTCAAAGTTCAAAAGATATATTAACTTTAGAAAGAACTACTTTATATCAGTTACCATTAAAGGAGCTTTCATGAAGGTAAAGTGGTCCAAAACCAGGCCTATGTCTGGTTGAAAAAATTACCTTTTCATAAAAAAAAATTATAAAATAGACCTTTAGGCCATATAAGACAACATATTAGAATCAAGTTAGTAGGATTTAGTGAATTATGGAAGGGCTAAATCTCAAAAATTATTTAGCAGCGGATTTAAAAAATTCGATTAAATATTGAGAAATTGTTTGTAACATTTGTGAAGTGTGAAGTTTTATAAATTTTTTTTTTTTTTTTATAATAAAAAATTTAATTAAAATTTAATTACTTTTTTATTATGATAAAAATAAGTAGTTGATTTAATTTAATTTTTATTTTTATTTATTTTAATTAATAATTAATTATTCACTAAATTAATCACTTCTTAAAAAAAGTTGTTAAACTAACTACTTATCTAGCAATTGTTTAACATTAATCAAATATTAGTTTATTAATAATTGATTATATTAATTAGGGATGTAATTTAAATTGATTAACTATTAAATGATTTAAATTCTTAACTGTATTTTTTATTAATTAATTATTAAATAATTACATATAAATTTATATAATCATAATTAATTTGATAATATTTTAATTAAAATTAATTATTAAGCAACTAAATTAAATAATAACCTCATATAGGGGTGTAAATGAGCCGAGCTTGAGCTGTTAGAAACGGTGGAGCCCGATCCACTATGCTTGGGCGGTTACTTTGCTTTGGAGAGTCACACCTCTTGACAAATAACTACTCTCGCCTTCCTCTTTTGTGAAGTGAAGCATCTATTCGCTCCCTCCTATTCGTGATAAAAGCTTCGGATGGCTCTCCTTGGGTTGAGTAAACGCTTTGAGTTCTTCATCGGTTTCCTTGGGATAGAGGAAGGTTTCTTTGGGGCAGACGAAGAGAAGTGAAAGGAGGAGCAGTTCCTTGAGGCAGAAAGAAAAAAGAAGGAAAAAGAGGAAGATTGTTCTCTCTAGGCTTCTTCTTGGTGGCATGTGGCAGAAGAGAAATTGAGTTTATTTTTCTTGTAAGTTTGTCTTCTTTGATGTATCTCGATGTAGATTTTTCTTCGGTGTATCTTGGTACAGAGAGAGAAGAACATAGAGAGAAGAAGAGAGAGAGCAACGAAGAGTGAGATTTCTCTTGTAAGTCGAGGTGATCGACTGTGTTCCGCTGTGTTGTTCTTTACTGGTTTGATTTTTTCTTGTTCTATTTTTCGCTTCGTCGATCGTTCTCCTGTTTGATTTATATATATACCTCAGAGCGTGGTTTCAGATCTGAGGAAGAATAATGGCTACAGATGAAGTGAAGGTTTCATGGATCGAGAAGTTTGATGACACAAATTTTAGTTACTGGAGAATGCATATAGAGGATTATCTTTTTGGAAAGAATCTTCATTTTCCGTTATTGGGGAAAATATTCGAAAGGATGGATAAGGCTGAATGGAATTTATTGGATCGTTACATTCTTGGGGTTATTTGATTGACCCTATCGAGGTTTGTTGCACACATTGTCGTCAAGGAAAGGATTACTGCAGATTTCATGACAGCCTTATCAGGTATGTATGAAAAGCCATCAACAAATAACAAGGTGTATTTGATGAAGAAGTTATTCAATTTGAAGATTGCGGAAGGTGTTTCTGTTGCTCAACACTGAATGTTTTCAATACTATCATAAATCAATTATCATCTGTTGAAATTGATTTTGCCGTGCGCTGATATTGTTGGCATTAATGCCAAATAGTTGGGAAGCCATGAGGATGACACTTAACGGTTCCGCAAGTAAATTTAAACTGAAATACGATGATATTCATGATTTTATTTTGGCTGAGGAAGTTCGCAGGAAAGATTCTGGTGAGGTCTCAGGTTCGAGTTCGACACTGAATGCTGATTTTAGAGGGAGATGACATGACAGGAACTCAAGTATAAGGAGATCAAAATCAAAGTTTAATAAGCAGACAACCTGTTGGAATTGTAGCAAGGCTGACCACATAAAGAAGAAATGCAGGAACCCTAAGAAGATGGAGAATGATAGCGCAAATGTGGTATCTGAAGAATCACATGATGCACTATTGCTGGCAGTTTATAGTTCAGTTGAAGACTTGATATTGGATTTAGGGGCATTGAATGTGGTAGGAAATCTACTAGAGGCCATAATGCAGGGTAGTGATGGAAGTGAAGAGGAAAGTGAGTCCGGGGCACCCATTCATATTGTTCCACAAACAGATGTTGAAGAACCACAGAGCTATGAAGAAATCTTGCAAGATGAAAGTTCGAGCAAGTGGGAGCTGGCAGAGCTTCCACGAGGGAAGAAGACATTGCACAACAAGTGGGTGTACCAGGTGAATACTAAGTGTGATGTCAGTAAGAGGTACAATGCTAGCTTGTTGAAAAAAGGCTTTCAGCAGAAGCAGGATGTTGCCTATGCAGTGGGAGTTGTAAGAAGAGACAAGAGCGACCCATGAAATAGCTTGGAGGTGCAAAGCTGTGTGGAACCTGCAGATATGTTAACTGAGGGTGTTACTCTTAAGAAACTGAAGTTGTACACAGCTTCAGTTGGACTTCTGGAGTGAAGACAGAGGCTTTGAGTTGTAGAGTCGAAGGATTCAAGTTGGAGGATTCATGGCGGAGGATTCATGTTTGAAGAAAAATGTGACACCGCCAGTAGAGATATCAGTTTGAGGAAGGAGATGTTGCAACCTGTGTACCGGTCGGTGGGAGAATTGTTAGAAATGGTGGAGCCTAGTCCACTATGCTTGGGCGGTTACTTTACTTTGGAGAGTCACACCTCTTCATAAATAACCACTCCCGCCTTCCTCTTTTGTGAAGTGAAGCATTTCTTCGCTCCCTTCTGTTTGTGATAAAAGCTTCGGATGACTCTTCTTGGGTTTAGTAGTCACGCTTTGAGTTCTTCTTCAGTTTCCTCAGAATAAAGGAAGGTTTCTTCGAGGCAGAGGAAGAGAAGTGCAAGGAAAAGCAGTTCCTTGCGGCAGAAAGAAAAAGAAGCAAGAAGAGGAAGATTGTTCTCCTTAGGCTTCTTCTTGGTGGCTTGTGGCAGAAGAGAATATGAGTTTATTTCTCTTGTAAGTTTGTCTTCTTTGGTTTATCTCGGTGTAGAGTTTTCTTCGGTGTATCTCGGTATAGAGAGAGAAGAACAGAGAGAACACAAAAGAGTGAGAGATTCTCTTATAAGTCGAGGTGATCGACTGATGTAAATTCCTGAAGTAATAAAATCATATGCAACCCTGTGGGCATAGACAATTTATCGAACCACATAAATCTGTGTGTTCCGCTGTGTTGTTCTTTTCAATTGTGATTTTTTCTCGTTCTGTTTTTTGATTCGTCGATCGTTCTCCTGTTTGATTTATATATATACCACATCAATTGGTATATTTAGATCTTGCAACAACAAATTGAGTGTGTCTAGGCTCTGCGGCTCGTGTTCAAATGTTAAGAAAATATTACTTTTAGTTTTTCACTCGTTTATGTACCGAGCACAAAAAAATTGTTAGTGTTTGGCTCGTTTGCTTAGCGAGCCGAACACGAGCTATTTGGGAACAATAAGTTAACTTGACATCCCTAGTCACATAGTAGTAGGATGCTAAATATAGGAGGAGATTTAAATCCTACTATTTATATTAAAAAATTCATTAAATAGAATTTACTATTTTTTTATATTTTTTTATTATTTTAATTGATTATAAATCTTTGTAGCTTCCTTGCCAATTAAAATTTTTAAAAGTAGTATTTAATTCTTTTGGGCCAAAAGCATGTCGAACATGAACGAATAAATCATTGTTCTTGTTTGGCTTATTTAGGGGTGTAAATAAGTCAAGCCGACTCATGAGCCAGCTCGTGCTCGACTTGATAAGTGGCTGGTGAACTGAGCGAGATGAGCTATAAAGTCAAGCTCAAGCTTAGCCCCGACTCGACTCTGTAGCTCATAAGCTGGTTCATTTAAAAAAAATATTAATATAAAATATACTCAAAATATATTGAATTAAAAAAAAAAATTATCTTTAAAGTAAGAAGTAAATTTTTAAAAAAATTATTTTATATTTAATATTAAATGAATTATTATTATTTATCTCCTAAATTTTGTTAGTCATTTTATTAGATCATTATCTTAAATTAATATTATCATTTTTTATAATATATAAATGGACTCAAATTCATAGATTTAAATTTGAGCTCAAATTCAAATTGGATAAAATCAATTAAACCCGAGCACATTGAGAATGACTTGAATTAAAAAAACTTAACAAAAATTTTTTTTTTATGATCGGCTCGTTTATTTAGCCAAGGAGTTTAACAATGTGATCCTGGCTAAACTCCTTGGCTAAACTTAATAAATCGACTGTACCCCTTCTGCGGGTTCGCCCAAAGACACTTCCGGCCTTCCCCTCTCATGTCTGAAACGCTTGCCTTCATCACCGAATCGTCGCGATACAGTCGCAATTTGAGCTAACCGGGAAGGCAACGGTGGGATCGCGGCCTACAGAGACCCGAAACTCCCATCTTTCTTCTCCTTCCGCACTGCTCCAACCTGAAACCATGGAGGCAGATGGACGAAGGTAACCCTTTTCGCGCCAATCGCCATAGTACAACCAGTAACCCTGCTTTGCTCCCGCTCCAACTCCTAGTTGCCGAAGTCAAGATCCGAGAAATTTCTGATGTAAGAGATAGCCATACGTACCTCAAGGTTCATTTCTTCTATTGACCTCCCTTCCTCGTCTCTGATCCCTTAGTGTATTTCTTCTGTAAGGACTCGCATTTTGTTAACTGGCAAGAAATAATCAGTGATTCTTCCTCTTTTCAGATGTTTTTTTGCTTTTCCTTCATTTAAGTTAAAGGCGAGGTGAAATAACTGGCAAGAAATAATCAGTGATTCTTCCTCTTTTGAGATGTTTTTTTGCTTTTCCTTTATTTAAGTTGGCATTGGGTCGTATGTATATCCGATTCCATGGTCTTGCTTAAGCCTTTTCCGGTTATAAAATATTCGGAGTCCTGCTTTTCTTGCTCACCCTTTTACTTCAACCATCTTACTTTCTTGATTCTAGTTTTTGCACAAATTCAATTAGTTTCTTCATGCTCGGTTTAACTTGTTAGTAATTTGAATTTGGCATACTCAGAATGCTAGGGTCGGTTATAATTATCTTTGTTAATTACACATTGCAGTGCTTGAGGGTGTTACGGCTGCTTTTTCATGTATGCTAGAGCATGCCTATCCATTCTCTACCTCGGATATTTGAGTTTTTCTTAACCTAATCAAATCCAATTCATTGGAAGAGAAGGTATCTGTTCCATGGCTGTTAGAATTGATGTTAATTGCTTCCATGGAATTTTTTCACACACCTCTTCCTGGAACTTTGATTATAGATCCAAACACCTTCTGTTTAGAACCCCTGCTGCAGTTCACATTAAAAATTACTCCAACCTTCATAATCCTAGAAGCGAACTCTCCATAAGGCAAGATATTATCCTTACTCCACAGGAGAATGTTATTTACTCAAAAGTAGATCATGACAATAAAGTCAACTATAATAGTTTTGGAAAGGTTATTGCTTCCAAGTCCACGCGCCTTATGAAGAAGAATAATACTTTTTTTTCTGATGGTTATTTTTTAAACTACGATGAGCAATCCAACAACAACTTCTTAAGTCACTATTGTCAGAACGGTAAGCTGGTTGAAGCATGCCATCTTATTGATGTTATGGCACGATATGGGCAGATCCCTGACTTTGAGTGCTCTGTAAACCTAATCAGAGGATTGGTAAATGTTGAGCGAGTGGAGAAAGCGGGCAAAGTTCTTAAAGTCATGGTTATGTCTGGTGGAATTCCTGATATTATAACTTACAACAAATTAATTGGCGGGTTTTGCAAAAGAGGGCAACTTTCTTCTGCTATCGATCTTGTTGAAGACATGAGCTTTACTGGTTGTCCTCCTGATGTCATAACCTTCAATACATTATTCCGGTGCATGTTTAGTGAAGGGAGGTATGAGGAAGCAATTTGGTTTTGGAGAAATCATCTGAGAAAAGGTTATCCTCCATATCTCATCTCTTACACGGTGCTGCTGGAACTTGTCTGCAAACATTGTGGGCTTTCTAGAGCTATGGAAGTTTTAGAGGATATGTCACTTGAAGGTTGCCACCCAGATGTAGTATCTTATAACTCTCTTTTAAATGTGATATGCAAAGAGGGGAAATTTGAGGATGCAATGATTATCATGCAAGCTCTTTTACAATATGGCTTGGAGCCAAATGCAATCACATATAATACCTTTCTTCAGTGTCTCTGCAGCCAAGGTAAATGGGTCGAAGCACATCACGTTCTATCAGTAATGAGGCAGGCTTCTTATCCTCCATCAGTTGTTACATATAATATCTTGATCAACAGCTTGTGCAAACATCAACTACTAGATCAGGCCATAGATATTCTGGACAAGATGGTGTCTGATGGTTGCTGTCCTGATATAATCACATACAATACTCTTCTTGGAGCTATGTGTAAGGAAAACATGACAGAAGAGGCTTTAGATCTGATTCATTATATGAGAGAAAATGATATATGTTTGGCTCTGATCTCTTATAACACATTAATTGATGGATTTTCAAGGAATGGTGAGATAAAGAAAGCGATGTTGCTGTTTGATGAAATGATTGGTGATGGTATCAAACCTGATGACATCACCTACGGATCACTGGTCATGGGGTTCTGCAAGAAAGATATGGTGAAGGAGGCAGTGCAGATGTTGAAGGAGATGTTCAGGATTAATTGTAGGATAAGGGGATCTACTTACACTGTTTTGATACAAGCATTATGCAGGAATAAAAGGGTGGATTCTGCTATTGAGGTCTTGGATATGATGGTATCTAGCTGTACTAAGCCGTGTAGAGCAATTTATGAAACTTTGGTTAAGGGCATAGCTGATTCTGGTATGATACATGTAGCAGCCACCTTGCATAAAAAGTTGGTTTGCTATAAGATTCTTGAAGAAGCTTTCTGAGTAGATCATTTTTGGTTGATAGATTTGCAAAGTCTAATCAAATTTGACATACATATGGACGTAGTGCTGATATGCATGCACGGGAATATGTTCTTGCCATCTACCTTATGAGGTGATATATGTAGCTCCGATTTATTATTTAATTTTGAGACCAGTTTTTTCTTGATAGTCTCACTTTTGTTTAAATCACTACAAATTAAGTGCCGAAACGTTCTGCAAAATTTTACTGCTTTGGCTTCATCTTTCTTAATGCTCTCTTGCTGATAATTGTTTTTGATAGGACGCAATGGAGAAAAATGATTCATGTAGCCGAGCCCACTTTGTGGGATAAATGTTTGTTGTTATTGTTGTTGGAAAATAGGGCTGTCCCATGTTTTGATCATCAAATTTCTCTTTTCGAGGATTATTCAAATAAACTCAGTGCAGTTTACTGCAAGTTTTTTATGCTATTGTGTGGAAATCTCCAAGGCACTATTCATTTTGAAGTAATTAAGTGGAATGTGAATGAATTTACTTTGATTTTGTATTGGAGGAAACAAGTTTATACGTTATTGATTGAATAAGATGAGCCGGTAAATAGACATGTGAGAGAATTCAAATTGGAAACAAAAATAAAAGAATAGTACCCCTTATTATGGAAAAGTTATTGCAATTGAATTTATAAATGATTATATGCACCTTACTGATTTATGAAGATTCTATGCCTACAAGAAATTCCAATTGAAACTTTTTTTTAGACAAATAAAGTAATTATTCTTTACATGCTTGAGGTTTAAACTATTTTGTTTTACATGTCTTAAAAGGTTAGCTTATACAATTTTGAAGAAACAAAAGTGCATAAAGGATCGTCCTTAAAGTACAAAAAAAAACTGGTTCTAAACCTCCACCTTATTTACTATATCTATTAATGGTCTCTGAGCCTGTATAAGTTAGTTCCTTTTTTTTGCTTATAAGCATGCTATTTTTTTCAAATTTTACAATAGATGCGCATTATAACATTTTGTATTTATGTGAGAAATCAAGGTCAAGCCTTGGCGAGATCAAGGAGTTCATGCATGCCAACGATCGCTTGATACTTGGGGAACTCGAACTTTGGTAGTAAAAGCTACAACGATGCTATGACCGTTTGATCGATAAAGAACCACTAAGGGTTAGTCGGAATACTTTCCTTACAACAAAACGAGCTTGAGTCCTGTAGTGCAGGCCAGACAAACATTTGGAGATGATTCCCTGCCCAATAGAGAGACAAGCTCTATGAAGGGTACGACGACACTCGTCCCAGACAGAAGTCTAGGTGGCTTCCTTTCATAGAGAGGGGACCAAACCTTAGATAGAGGTCCGACCGAGCAACCTGGGAACCATGCAAGTAAACTATTAGAACCTGACTCCTATGCCTCGAAAACGATTCATCACCCGACAATGACAAGCTCCGCGGGGGGTATACGACGAATATTTTCGACTCCAGAGATGACTCTTCACCTGACAGCGAAAAGCTCCACGAGGGGTATATGACGATCAGCTTCGACTCTAGAGATGACTAGCTATCCAACAATGACAAGCTCTGCAAAGGGTGTAGGGCGATCATTTTCGGCTTCAGAGATGATCGATCACTCGACAAAGACAAGCTCCACGAGTGATGTATAACAATTGCAAACAGTTTCTAGGGCGTTTTGGAACCTGATAGCGACAAGCTTTGTAAGGGGTGCACAACGAACGTCCTCGACTTCAGAAATAATTCACAAGCGGTGTATGGCGGTCATCTTTGGCCTAAGAGATGACTCAACACCCAACAACGACAAGCTCTACTAGGGGTGTATGACGATCATTTTCAGTCACCTGACAGCAACAAGCTCAACGATGGGTGTATAATAATCGTCAAAGACTCCGAAGGCATTTCAGCACTCGCTAGTGACAAGTTCCACGAAGAGTGTACGGCGAACGCCTTCCACTCTATAGATGATTCGCCACCTGGTAGCGACAAGCTCTTTAAATGGTGGAACTTGAGTTGAACAAACCTCGTATCCAAAAAAATCTAAAAGCTTAACCAATAATCTTCTCAAAAAATCTACTCATCAAAGGTAATTATGATTTTTCCATTCTTATTGTAGTTTTGCCTCTAAGAAGAGAAAAACATTGGGCTTCATGTATAGACTGAAAGTGTCACCATAATTGTCAGACTAAAGGAACCCCCGTAGGAGTCACATCTATAGTCTGCTCCGTCTATTGACCACCCTTGTCCGGCTAACTTTTTCTCCTGCAACAGCTGACTTTTTTCCCCAATGGAGGAATTTTCCCTTAACGGAGGATTTTTTCCCCGACAGAGGACTTTTTCCTTCGATCTGCCATCAAAACCTGCCACTCCCCTCGATAAAAACACTTAAATGATAGATGCGACAAAGAAATCAGAATTGAGTGTGAAAAACACCTAACAGAGTGTAACGTTAGCAAATTATCTGTTCAAGATTTGTTTGATTTATAAATTTTCTTGTCCTTATCGTAGCTATGTCTATGAATAAGCAAGAAAATTGGGGAACACAATATGTATACTCAAAAATGGTCTGCACATATCTCAATGCTCTACAGTCTGCTTCTATCAAATTGGCTATCCTCGGCCGACATTTCCTCCATGGGTCGACTTTCTCTCCAATTGACGATTCTTCCATTAAAGGATAGAGGACTTTTACACCTCTCTCTCTCTCTCTCTCTCACAAAAAAAATCCCAGAATGACAGATACAACGGTCAATGAGGTACCCAACAGAACACACCAACAAAAAAAAACTAAAATATCAATGATAATATTGCAATTTATTTTTTGGTTTTCCTATCATCTGTAATAGGAGGGCTCTTTCATGTAAAGAGGCTTTTTTGGGCTCCTCTTCTCACAACCCAGCTATTCAAGTTAAAAAAAAAAACGAATCAGAGAGCTCGGGAACTCCCTATTTGCCCTGACGGGGCAAGTCTTCCTCTTCTCCTCCTTTCTCTCTCCCTCTCAATCTCCTTTCCTACGTCTGAACACTCTATCTCTTGGGCACGATTTACCGGATTGATTTGGATTCAACATTTAGGATTGAGAATCCTTTTAACCTAAGTCCCTATTTCTTGCTATGTATTCTCTCTTGCCAATAAAATTTAGACATTTAATATTTATATGACAAAGCTCATAAAAGCCATAACAAAAATAAATGAATTTTAATAAAAATTTCTAAGGATACATTTTTTTATATAGTAAATGTTTTTTTTATATATAAAAATAAAATCAAATATTCAATATGATTTAAACTGCTCTTTTCTAACTTTCTAGTATTAAACTTACTACAGAGGTGTTGCTAAAACATATTTTAACAATTGGATTATCGAATAATATAATTTAATTATAATTCGAGTTTTACCTATTTAAATTAAATTGTTCTCATGATTGTTTAAACATAATTTTTATATTAACCTAATGATAAAATAAGTCCAGTTATCTTACGTTTTTGTAATGGCTTTTGTAATTATATTAAATAATTGATTTATCAAAGTGTATTTAGACATAGTTTTATGAGTATTTAAGTATAATATTAATATAAATTAAATACATCAAATATATCCTTAAATAATCTAATAAACATATTAAATATTTGATTTGTCAAACATAAAATTATCATATTTTAAGTGTTATTATATTCTACGTAAGTTACGTGCATATGTTGTATTTATACATGATTTTAATATT